GACTGTGGCCGGCCCCTGTGTGGGTCCGCAGGCTCACGGCAGCTCGTTTGACCATTACGGCTAACCTATTTATAACCTCAGTGGGGGTAGGCCGCCTCTCGGTGCTCATTACCTCAAATACTCGCTGCTTTGATGTCAGCCTGGGCCCCAGGTGTTCGACAGCGCGCTGAGATGGCGCCACTCCGAATATCTTAAATAAGCCAACCTCTGCCTGTCCTCATGCTCCCGCCTCACCTCAGGTGACGGCAGCGCAGACCTCTGAAGCCTCTGCCTATCGTGGTTGATGAAGCCGCACTGGGAATGATGGGGACAGAGGGAGAGAGAGAGAGAGAGAGGGGTGGTTTTAATTTGAAGAAAGGGCCCAGAACATTCTCCTGTTACTTAATGTTGCTCACCGAATACTCCCATATGTTTGCTCGGCCAGAGCACTTAGTGAGAGTGATTTATAGTCCATATAAACCTTACACTGTGGTCTGAGGTAAGTGAGGTAAAGTACTTTGTTGGTTGGTTAAGGGAGGCTGTCCCACACAGGACACCAGCCCACAGTCCTCACCCACTAGTGAAGTCCTCCCCCCCCCATTGTTGTGATTGATATGATGGTCACTTCCATGGAGTTTTGTATGTATGTATTTTTATTAAGTAGTCTGGTGTCTAGCTGTGGTTCTGAGCAAGCCAGATGCGACCTTTCGGTGTTACAGCTTGGTACCTGGGATAAGGGGGCTGCAGAATCCCCCCCCCCCCCGTGATTCAAACCAGCCACCATAGAGATATGAAACCTTGTCCTTAACCATTAAACTGCCCTCTGCAAACCTTGTAACATAGTGTTCCTGGTACAAAAGCAGGTGTGTAAGTGTGTAGCTGCTCCAGAATGTGCACAGGGATGTGTCCTTGTCGCTCACAGGTGAAGGGGGACACCCAGAGCCGTCACAAACGGTGTGGTCGCACAGAGCCGTGTCCTTGACTGCATCGCTCACAGGTAGAGGGGGACACCCAGAGCCGTCACAGACGGTGTGGTCACGCTGGGCCGTGTCCTTGACTGTGTCGCTCGCAGGTAGAGGGGGACACCCAGAGCCACCGCACTGGGCTGTGACCTTGACTGTGTCGCTCGCAGGTAGAGGGGGACAACCAGAGCCATCACAGAGGATGTGGCCACACTGGGCCGCACTTTCAGTCCCCACAAAGTAATGTATACCTGGACCATACACACATGCACACTCTGAGATTGCCGTGTGAGGGGGGGGGGGGGATTCAGAGCATTAAGGACACCCCACCGAGGGTATAGTGGTAACACCTGTCCCGGAAGGGGAGGGTCAGCGGTCATCATCGAACTCATGAACCACATGGACTGATACTGTCAGGTAGCATGACAAAGAGGGGGGGGGGCACTGTAAGAGGAGCAAAACTCCACCCCCCTCCCAGCACCCGGCCAGTGAACTGAGTACTACACCTCACCCGGGAAAACTCACCTGCCAGCTACGTACCCCCCTCCTCCACACTGAGCAGCTCCCCCCGCCCCCCCCCAAGCATACAAACACACATTGTTGGGAAGGGCCTCCAGTCACAGGGAAAGTGCAGATTCATTCACCCCTGGCGAGCCTGGGGACGAAGGCGAGGAGGTCCGCTTTCAGCACCACCGCATGGCCTGCTGTGCACGGCCTGCTGCAGCACTGTCAGCTCTGATTTGCTGACGGCTGGCTCTGCCGATGACCCAGAGATCTGCACGGAGGGAGCGACGTATCTCCTGTGCTGCCGAGGAAGGCGGGGCCGGCCAGTGCTGCTCATGCTGCCGTCACAGGAAAGGGCCTGGAGCGGCTCCTTGCAATAAGATTATGGCTTTTATGGATATCAGGTAAAATCATCCATCCATCCATCCATCCACCCATCCACCCATCCACCTTCTAATTGTTTTTTTCTGATCAGGGTCACAGGGAAAACGATCCTTCAGATTTTGCCCAATCAGGTGGTAAGGACTGATATAATATACATACGGCAGGGTTGCCAACTTTGGTCAGCTGGCTGGCGTGAGATTTTCAATTCGGGAGAAGTCTGCACGCGCATTCACATGTATGAGAGAGCATTTACGTGTAGTTTTATTACCTTGTAAATAGTCTGCAGGGTTTGCAAACTACCCCAATGCTTATGATGTAACTTAATTTTAGGTTTATAATGGAATAATATAGATTTGCTGTAAGATTTCTTGCGTGAGCGTGAGAATCTTAAAGCATGAGTGTCAACAGCAGATGCGTGAGAGTTGGCAGCCCTGCGTACAGGAGTCAAACGCTTGATGGAATATGCAAAAAATGCACATTGTATAATATAAGTGCAAATAAAGATGAAATAGCAGAAAAACAGGCGTTAAATTTGGAGTTTAAAAAGGCTATGTTTCAAATACTGTGGTGTTTTACAGAGTGGGTGTCTACAGAGAGTGTGTGTGTGCATGTTCTGGGCTGGGCGGGACAGGGATCTCCTGCCTCATGCTATATCACTGCGGTAAACAGAGGAGCGGCAGCCTCCACAGAAGTGTGAGATTTGACAAGGCCGTCTCAGGCAGCCGCTGAGTAACAGGAATCACAGCGGGAGGGGGAATGGAGCCCCACATCGCCTTCGATCTGCCACTGCTAGCCAGTGCAAGCATCAAGATGGAGCCATCATTTCTCTCTTTCAGCTGAAAGGCGGCTATTTGATCTTTTTCGACGAGCCTCCTGCAGTCATTAATGTGTGGGCATTTTCTTTGCCCTACAAAGTCATCAGGAGTATTGATTTGTTTGTGGCAATTGGTATTGACTGCTGCTGATGCAGCTGCTGAATTTAAGGGACGGTGCTGCCGCACAAGGCATTGAGGGTTCTGGGTCCCGACAAGATGCATTCGACAATTTAACGGGTTAGGTGGCCAAAAACGTGCTGCCTGCAGCGCTGCAGGTTAAACAATCCCGTCAGGGGAGATGCATGGATGTGGGGAAAGCTTTCAGATTCACAGGGACTGCGTATGAGCCGCTGTGGGCCGCTGCTGTCATCCTCTTCCTCACCACGTGGAGCCTCCCTGGATGCGAGCCCCATGAACGGCACACTGGAGAAACCGGACGATAATAGGACGTGAAGAGCATGCCTGTGCTAACCAGTATAGAGCTCATGAGTCCCACAAAGATCTGCTGAACCTTGGACTTATACTGGCGCTGGGATGGAAAAGGCGCGTGGAACGTCACGCAAGCTCCGTCTGATGTATCGTTAACATCACCGTGGTCCAGACTGACCCATAACTTAATCCAGTGACCCGCACAGCTACAGGTGCAGACCTTCCCTACTTATAAACCTGTTAGCAGTCAGAATAGAATAGTGGGGCTTTATTTTGCCTCATGAGCATATTTGGGCCTCCATGACAAAGATGGATACACACGCACAGATACAGGTGAGAGAAAGCTTTGGGACCAGAACACGACACCAGCTGGCATCCAGCACCTCTGGAGATAAGGGTTCCGCTCAAGACGGATACAACTGCTCTCCTGGGAGTGGGATTTGAATCCACAACCTTCTGGACAGGGGCACAGATCGCTAACCCACTTGGCTGCACGCTGCCCCCTACAGTCAGTAATGGGTGAGACGAGGCTCAAGCCGGTGATGCTGAATGGAATCCATCTGTGTTAATCTAACATCAGCATTTTGAACATGGTGCCTTCATCAGCGCTGTCTGAATGGACATTAATTTTTGCTGGCCTGCTCTGCATTTCTTGTTTTTTCCCTCTCTGTACAAGATGTAAAGTCTGTGTGGAATTTATTACGTTACGGTCGGTTCTCAGGTACATTTAATACACCCGGTATGTTGTTGTATAGCGACAAAAGAGCAAAAGAGACATTTGTTCAAAACAGTGAGTTTGTATAAATTATATCAGTCGTCTGTTCGACTACTGCGTATGCAGGTATTAAACCACAAACCGTTACTCTAATTTAAACTTTATGGACTTTTAACTCAGCAGCGAGGAGCCTGTATGTGCCTGTGCTGGCAGGGACAGGACATGAAGGGCCACTTCCCCTTTTTCTTTTGATAAACATGCAGCCAAAATGTAGAGCTGGACAAGACCCAGCGCCTCCTTCGGCAAGGGCGCGATGCCTCGGGGTGGGGGTGCGTGATCCTCCTCCTGTTTTTACAGGAAATAATTCAAACTTACAGCAGTGGCAGCGAACAAGCCCCGCGCCCCACTGTGGACACGACCGTACCCGGCCCGCCTCGTCGCGGGGATGCCTCGGAATCTGAAGGGCGACGATGGGGCGGAGCGGCAGCCCGGCTGCTCTCCGTGGGTCACTGGCACACATTAAGAGGAGCGGGCGATGTCCGCTCAAGCGCAGCCTGCGAAGGCACCTGCGGACGCGGGCGGTGAAGCTGGAAGCCTGACAGGCAAACAAGCAGCACAGAAAAGAAAACAGAGCCAGAGAGCAGGGGCCCAGCTGCACGCTGGCGGCTGTTTGCAGGGACTCCATGGCAAACAGACACGCGAGGTTACGTGAGCGTGGTGTGCAGCTCACCGTCGTGGTGAGTATTCTTTTTACAAAGGCTCCTTTTCCATGGACTGCTGCTTCTTTCATTAATGTAAAATTAAATAACTTATTAACGTTACATCTCTAATGTAGGGGAGAAAAGTCGATTCTTTTGATAGGTTTTATAAACGTTAGTGGAATAAATCTATTTCTTGGCAACACTCGGGAAAATTAAATGGACTGCAGTTCAGAAAATGGAGGTCTTTCTCTGGTCAGAGTGGAAGACAGGAGCAGACCTCTCGCGTCAAGGCGCATTATTTATTTCAAGTTCAGGTTCAATCCATCACCATCTAGCCACCGCGGACTTGTCCCAGTGCAAACACCGCGTCTTTAAGCTCATTACTGCAACCCCGCCCCCGCTGACTAATGATTGACGTCTCGTAAAGCGCTGTGGTGCTGAGGGGCGGAGCCACGCCGCCTTTCTCCTCCAATCGGCGCCCAGGGGGCGGGGACAAAGCGCAATACTCTCGCAATGTGTCAGCCACCCGTCCTAAGCTGAACAAAAGCAGCGGATCGTACCAAGGCGCTCAAAGCTGCGCGTTTAAAACCTATGTCCTTGCGCACTGCAGAAACATAGCAAGAGAGGAGAGAGAAAAAGTTTGCATTTGTCCAAAGGCTACGGGCGTACTTACTGCAAAGGATTTTGCAGCTAGGTTTAAAGTTGAAAGTATTTTTTTCTCTCCTGCAGAGCAGGAGTGGCTAAATCCAAAGCCAGCAGTTCAGATCAGATTTCACTCAGACCAGCGGGTGGAGAGCCGTAGAGGAGGCTTGTTTTTTACCCCTTTTTTCCTCTCTGGTCTTCATAGGGAGCAATCGAGGAAGGGAGGGAGAGAGAGGGAGGGAGAGAGAGAGAGGAGGGAGGGAGACGCACATAGATCCGAAGGAATTTTCTTAGGATATTCCTGTAGCCCGAAGGGGGGACGCGTGTCTCACTAGCTTTGGGGGGACAGGCAGAGAAGAAGACTGAGATGGACGAGCAGCCTCGGCTGATGCACTCTCACGGAGTAGGGATGGCCGGACACCCCGGCCTGTCTCAGCACATGCAGGATGGCACGGGGGGGACGGACGGGGAGGGAAGAAAGCAGGACATTGGAGACATTTTACAGCAAATCATGACCATTACAGACCAAAGTCTGGACGAAGCACAGGCCAGGTAAGCTGTCGGATGGAGACCTCCAACTCGGCACATGCTGTAAATTACGTTTGCCGTGTCGTGGGATACTTAAAATAGCAACTGCCGTATAATTAAGGGCTGTAAAACAATTAACACGAGCTGGCAGAAGCTAGCAGTAAGGTTGCTAAAATTAAGCTGGAAATTCCGACTGCCTAACGTCTTTACAAGCATGACAGACGACGCATTGCTAACAATCCCGATGCGATAATTTAGGATAAACTTTGAAAAGCACGAACCTAACGCTCTAAGCGTTGAAATTATATTTAAGTACAGGGCATGGTGGTAGACATCTGGAGATTTTGCATTGGGCAGCGGGCTGCCCCCAGCTAGCTAACAGGCTAACGTTGCATCTCTCCAGTTCATGCCGTTGTATTCCGGGCTGCTAACTCGATACCCCTCTCCAAGTCCGATTGCGTGTTGCTTGTTGGCAGTTTTAATCTTTGCAGCCACTATTGGCTTTATACACACATAACCGTATCACAGCGATGGGATAATTCTTGCCTGATAGTTTTTATTGCACTAAGTTGAAATGTATTAATACACCCTGGGAATAATAATTTGTGTACAACGTTAAGTTCTGCATTTAAGTGCAAGCACAGCTTAACTTGGTTCATATAAAAGGTGATGTATTACGCTTGTCTCACCTTATTAATGAGTGCATAAAAATAAATGGATAGAAACACGCATCTCAAACGCAGCGAGTGTTTTTGCACCACCCGTCTAGCCACTTCGTAGTGCGGTCGGGATTACACTGGCCAGGAAATGTTAAGTATAATTATTTATTATTTATTATTATTATTATTATTATTATTATTATTATTATTATTATTATTATTATTATTATTACTAAGGTGCGAAAAGGCGCGTGGAACGTCACGCGGCCAGCTGCGAAAATAGCGCGAGGCGAAGGGCGACACGTGCGCCGGCCGTACGCTGTTTACGGAAGACACTGTCAGACGGGGACCGAGCCTCGGGGACCAGAGGGACAGGGGGGACCGGGGGCCGCCAGCGACGGGGGGACGGGAGGACAGGGGGCCACTACGCCGAAGGGCGCCTTCAGGGAGTCGGGGCAAATCGGGCCTGTCTCATTGAGTGTCATCATCATTATCATCATTATTACCACCATTATTGTTTTATTTTATTATTATTGTATTATTATTATTATTATTATTTGTAGTAGCAGCACGATGAACAAGTTATGTGCTGCCGTCAAAGTCAACAGTAGATCACTAGAACTTTTATTTAGTATTTCAAAAAATATTATTGCGATAATTACACGAGTTCGTTAATATAACGCACATGAAGTTAATAGTGTTAATAATAATAATAATAATAATAATGATTATAAAATGAACTTGACACATTTCTTGTGTTTTTAACCATACTGAATATTTTGGAAGTATTTCTAAAATGAAAATAGAAAATCCAATTTAAAATTTAGCACTACCAAATGTAAGGTATACAATAACCAGAATTACTTTGGAATTATGCGATGATTTAGCAAAACCAGAAGTCATAATTTAAAATTTTACTTTGTAATTTTCTGATACTTATACAGGAAACTGCACGCAATATTACTGCTTTTGCTTGCTTAATATTTTCATATATGCAGATTTGAGTTTAAGGGAGAAGTCTGTTAAGTCGTGTTTATGCCAAAGCCATTCTATAGTCGAGGTATTAAGAAATAATAATAAAGTCGGCGTGTTTTATTTTTTCCTCATTTTCATCGTATCTAATTCATCACTATTGTTCTCGCGCCGCACATGCACGCGGCGCTAATGAAAATTTGCCCTTATCAGTATGAGCGCTTAACTTAATGCGGCGCTGCCCGTTTGCGGCTGATTTAAGCGCCCTTGCCTGTTTTGTTTTAGGAAACATGCCTTGAATTGCCACAGAATGAAGCCGGCTCTCTTCAACGTCTTATGTGAAATTAAAGAAAAAACAGGTAAAAGATCACCTTGTTTGTAAAAATGCCTAAGCGTAATGTGTTCTTTTCCGTACTGTTAATTTTCTTTAAGCAGAAGTGGTCATAAATTTTACTGCCTTCTTGTTTGTATATGCTTTTTGTAACTTTGTATTTAATATAGTTACATTTATTTATTAAATAAATTAAGAGAATTTTTGTGCTGTTTTGGTATTTGTGAAATAAGTGCACTGTTTAACTTAAGGCAGTTGTTGGAAAATAAAATGCAGTGTTTTTTGTTAGACATAAATTTGAAGTGAGGCAGTTACGTGGCTGTAATGTACTCGCAGCTCTACAATTGCTTGACTCATATTGACTAAAACATTGAATGGAAACGTCATTAGTGCAGAAGTGAGATATATGGCTGACATCGTCCTGATGGGATTTTAGCACCACGGAGCCTTTAAATGGGGGTCGGCCGGCGCGCTCTCGTGCTCGAGCGCCGCACTATGCCCTGTCGAGCACTTTGTGTTTCTCCGAGTTGTCAGAAGGAGATTGTTTGTGCAGCAACATGCTTTCTGTCACGGGAGGGTGTCGGATCAGGTGTGCGCGTGTGTGCACGCGTTACAGTAGGCAGCGCAGCCTGTTTGCGTTGCGGCATGGAGGCGGACTCCACGACGTAGGGGACCTTATAGAGATGCTACAGAGGTCTGTGAGATGGTGTTGGTGTCGGGGTCTTGGGTTCCATGGCTTCGAGGAAGGATGTGTGTTCAGCTGCGAGTCGCCGGCTTCGCTTCGATACTTAGTCACATTCCTGGCCTGCTGACGTGCTCTCTTCTGTCTATGGTGATGGTACAGCATGGTGGTATTGGGTGTGGGGGCCCATTGGCGTCCGGTCTTCCTGCCATACGAAGGCTTGGCTTGCCCCTGGTGTCCCAAGGAGTGACCTCTTCGTAACAAAGTCTTGGGCAGTGGGGGGGGGGGGGGGGGGGGGGGCGGCCATGCGATGGGCTCTGCATCTCGTCAGTTTCAGTTTCTGTGATCTCCGGTGTACAGAGAGTGACGCGGGCTGGCCGGGGCCAAGGTGCGCCTCGTGTGGGTTCTGTCAGAGCTGCGAGGCGTGTTTCAGTGCTAATTTCCACGATGACGGGGGGTTGCGAATGCTGCGGGTGTCACCGAGGCGTTCACTCGATCTCCTTACGTCATTAATCTAATAACTTGTCTTTCTGTTGCCGTGGAGTTGATTATCCCCCCCCCCCCCCCCCCCCGATCTCCTTACGTCATTAATCTAATAACTTGTCTTTCTGTTGCCGTGGAGTTGATTATCCCCCCCCCCCCCCCCATCATGCTGTTCTGTACTGTTCTCCTTTGAATACTCTCTAGGACTTTGGGCATTTGTTGGTATTTAAGGGCAGTGTCTGCGTCTGCTCCAGCTCATTGCGTGAAATGGAGGTGGACATTGGCCAGGTAAACGAGGTCATCCCTTCTAGCTAATTAGCCCCAAAGTGTAATTCGGCGAGATTCCTTTGCCGTGAAGTGCTGTCTGCCTGCAGCCTGCCGTTAAAGCCGGGGCCTGGCTGTGCCGCTTTTATTGAAGTTTCCTCCCCTGCAAGTCGGCATGAATCGACCTCTGTTTGCGGGACGTGGGGGCCCTTTGGGGACGTGGGGGCCCTTTGGCCCGGCTGCTTTCTACTCCCCTCCGTTGTTCTGCGAGGTCCTCGGAGGAGTGATAGACTTGCGCCGGGTGTTCTACACCCTGGCGTTTCTGTGGGTTCATCCAGAGTTCGAATGGCCACGGAGAACAAAGTGACTTGGAGCTCTTCCTGACTGCTGGGGCCTGATACACGGCCGCTGGCAGCCGTGAGCTGGGGGGGCTTTCGGAAGGGGGCTTCCCTGCTTTCTTTGTTTCTCTGCTACTTTCCAAACGGAGGAAGTTCTTCCAAAGGAGACCATTTTAACTAACAAGTCATTTTTATTTGGAAGGAGATCTGGATTTATTTTTGCCCCCCCCCACTACCACTACTAGCCTCCTTGCAAGGTAGTACGTTTTTATTTAATTTGGTCTCTGCCGCTCATTTTCAGCATCCATGCACTTGAATTTGGAAGATAAAGACTCTGCAGGGGAACTCCTTTGACTTGCGAATTGGGACCCCCCCCTCCTGGAGGGGGGGGGGTTGCTCTCTTTCACCAGACAACTGCATGCCNGGGGGAGGGGTTGCTCTCTTTCACCAGACAACTGCATGCCTGCCATTGTTGGAGGGCTGATGGTAATTCTTTCAATACGTAGCATGTTGCATTGTCCTGGAGTCCTTTATCATGTATGCTGTGAGCTCTTGGAGTCGAAGCAGTCTCCCTGCGAGCAGCACCCCGGGAAAAGGAAGATTGACATTTAAATGGATAAATTAATGAAGTATTGTGATTCAGTTTCCTTTTTACAGTGCGAGAAATAATGTCGTGAAGTTTTGATGAAAGCGAATGAAGCGTTTCCCTCCGTGCCTGGAAACCATGCCGGTCTCGCTCACGGGCTCCACTTGTTTACTGAATTTCTCTCTCTGGGCTGAACTTTGCAGATGTAGCCCCCATAAGCCTCTGCTTTTATTCTCATCTTTTGTCCCGGTCCACCGCTGTGGTGACCACGTTCTGGGCCCTCTGGACGGTTTCAGTCATGCTTTTGCTTTCAGTTTAATCTGCATACTGCTGCCTAAGACTTGTTTCTCCTCTCTGCACATGTGATATTTATAAATGCACCCCCCACCCCCTTGCCTGTGAGTTATTTCCATCTATTTTTGGCGCTTCAAGTTTTACTTTGGGGATAGAAAATTCATGTGCTGTTTTTGAGTGGATCATTCATGATTTATATTCTCTCTTCATTTGGGCCTTTGCGTGCGCAGCCTCGTCTGTCTGTGGCTCCATAACGGCGCGTTCTGCTGCGTTCCTGCCGTATCTGTACCGGCTGCGTGAGGCCTGCGCTGAAAACGGTTTAAAAATAACGATCCCTGTATAAAGCTCCGCCGGCCTGTTTGGACACCTCCACTCGTCTCCGTAATTCAGTCCCTCCGCATTTAATTTGAGGATGTATTTTTGCTCTGTGCAGCCGGCGCTGAAATTATTCTCCACCGTGAGCGAGCGAAGGACTCTGCGCGCCCGGTGACATTTGCCGGGATTGTGCTGAGCGCGGCGTCCCGCTTTTTTGTCAGTTCTTTTTATATTTCAAAGGGCCGGGCCGTCTCCGCGCTTTTACATAGTCACCGCCGCGTCCCGAGTGGATTGCAAAGCGGCGCCCATTAAGCCAGCCGCCATCCTGCTCGGCAGGCTGCCCCGGGGCCTCACTGCGGCCGGCCGGGTCTCCCTGAGCAGCGCGTAGAGCTCGCCGCTGGCCGTCCACCTCGGAAGAGTTTGAGGGCCCCCCCCCATCCTCCCGTACTTGCAGATCCTTTTCAGGATTCTTCAGAAAGGTTTTTTTTTTTTCCCTCCCCCTTACACCCGTGGCAGTAGTTAAACCTGGAGGACTGGTTAGTTTTCGATCAGCGGGCTTTTATTTTATTTTGTGCGAAACACCGCTGTGAGTAAGGAGGTGCAGCGTGAAGGTGACTGGCGTGTGCATAGTGACGCGCTGATCTGCAGAGTGGGACACACGGGATTTCCGTGGGCCCCCTACGTCCCACATTAATGGCCGGCGTACCTGGTGGTGTGCGACCCCCCCCCCCTCCCACCCAGCCGTGCCTGCATTGTCTCAGGCCATCTCTGGGTCGACTGACAGCTGGGGAGGTGCGGAGGGCCGACCCCGGGACAGGGGGGGCCTGAACTTCTGACCCTCCTTGTGTATTTTTCCAGAGGCTGGCCTGGCTGTAGGGGGCGCTCTGTAAACATTCGTGGATTTTTCTCAGGCCACAGGGAAGCGGCAGGAAGGGCCACTTATTTAAGCCGAGTGCTTTTTGTCTCCACACTCAGGTTATTTTTTTTCTCTGTATCGCCCTGTACGGCTGTTGTATTCCAAACCCGTCTCCCCAGAGGAATGCCGGATTCCACGGCGTCCGGACCGGGATACTGAAAGCGAGGGAAATAAAAGAAGAAGGAAGGTGGCTCATTTGTTTGTTTTTCTCTCTGTTTGTTGTCTGTCCCGAGTCCCCGGCGTTGGGCTGTGCGACCGCGAGACTGCGTGAGTTTCCGTGGACCCATTAGAGAGAGGGGTGGTCGGCACGTACAGGTTCGGGTTGTCAGAGGAGGCCGGCGGCGGGCCGATCATCCCCAGGTGTCGGGTTTGGCAGCGGCGAGGGCTGGCGCGCGCGGCGGGCCGCTGAGGCTGCCCACGGCTGGGGGCTCGCGATGCCAGCCTGGGCCAAGCTGATAGCTGTACTACGCTGTTATCTGTTTCCTCTATTAAAATTATATTACATTCCTGAAAGTTTGGCCTTAACCATAAAATATACGTTTCAGCATTTTTTTTTCCTTAAAGGGGGGAAATATCTTTCAAAAAAAATTTTTTATTAGTGCAATTTAATTTTTATATATAGTGCCCTTAAGAAAAACCTTCCAGGTTGAACGAATTTAAAAGCGTCGTAGAAGGATGTTATTCAGTGCTAAAAGTTAGCATGGCAAAATAAGCAGGGAGGTAACGAACGTGAGAAAGCAGGAAGTCCAGCTGGCTGTCTGATAAAGACCAATATTAAGGCTGGTAATGATGGTGACTCTGCCAGGGAGGCTTTCTGACGGAGGGGTAGCAGTGGACGGCGATGGCGTGTGACACAGGGGAGGCTGCAGACACAAAGACGGAGCAGCACAGAACATCGCTTTGACCTGATAGATTGAGACGTGGCTCTCTGCTCTGCTGTGATTCTCCCTGGCCTGCTCACCCTCGCCGGCACGCTGTGTCACGCTCCGTTTTGCACACGGGGGGGGCGGCGGCGCTGATCGTCTTCACTGCAGCCTCCCCCCGGTCGCACCGCATTATGAAATGGCGCGGGGGCCAGCCGGCCACAGCGAGTCCAAAAATACACCCGGACGAATCCGTCCCCCTGGAGAGCAGGTCTGGCTAGTGGCCA